CTGAGGACACTGCTGCAGAGTTGCGTGCGGAACAGTGCGATGAAGCCTGGCTATGTATCCGTTTAGGCTGCCGGCTGCCACTGTGTGCACCACAGTCCAGCCTTGCTGTTTCAACAGCTGCACAAGAACCGAAGTGTCCTGGTCTATCGTTGCGGCGATTCAACAGGAGGTGGAACAGGTGAGGATCGGACCTCTATAATCCGGCAGGACGATGACACGTCTATAATCCCCCATGACATGTTTTCCAAGAGAGGCTTTCGTGCTTAAATTTAGCGATATAGCTGATTCTGCAAAAACAGGGGGTGGGGACCCGACAGTAAATCATTTTGATTTCCCATCACTGTGGGGGTGCTTTAATTCAGAGACAAGGGGCCGGTTTTGGAGTCCCAACGAGGCTGTGGGCAGCGAAAGACTGCCATCACTGCTGGTGCTTCTGCTGGTGGCGACCCCTGACCCCTACACAGAGCACAGACGCCAGGGCCTTAATGGAGGGTGGCCGAGCCGCCAGTTTGCTAGAGGAGGTGTCTTTTAATGAGCCGGCAGGTCCTCTCTCCCACGTAAGGGGGCTTAATCACTGCCCGGCGGACCTTTTATCTCTGGCGTTAATAATCTTCCCAGCCGACGGGTAACGCGCAGTTTCCGAAATGCCGTTTCCCTGCTGTCCTCTCTCGGATGCTCATTAAAACAGGGAGCAGGGCCCTGCCTGTCCGAGCTGGAAAAGGATACTGGGCGTGGGTTTAGTTCAGTTTCGGCTCTGAGTGTTTTCATCGGCGAGGGTGACTTCAGTGCAAAGACAAACTCCCTCTCCCCAGGGACGCCTCACGAGGTGGACAGGGCTCGGTTCTGCTTGCTATTAAAAATGCAACAAGACTACAAAGACTGATCACAAACGAGGAGGCCACTTTTGGTCACTCGGTAATAACTGATCTCAGGATCTCCGCCCACCTCTGCAGGCCTGCTCCTCTGACACACCCACCTGGCTCCTCTGACGAGCCCACCCTGCTCTTCTGACACGCCCACCTCTGCTCCTCCAACACGCCCACCCTGCTCCTCCGACACACCCACCTGACTCCTCTGACAAGCCCACCCTGCTCTTCTGACACGCCCACCTCTGCTCCTCCGACACGCCCACCCTGCTCCTCTGACACGCCCACCCTGCTCCTCTGACACGCCCACCTCTGCAGGCCTGCTCCTCCGACACACCCACCTGACTCCTCTGACAAAGCCCACCCAGCTCTTCTGACACGCCCACCTCTGCTCCCCCAACACGCCCACCCTGCTCCTCCGACACACCCACCTCTGCAGGCCTGCTCCTCCGACACGCCCACCTGACTCCACCGACACGCCCACCCTTGCAGGCCTGCTCCTCCGACACGCCCACCCCAACAGGCCTGTTCCTCTGACACGCCCACCCTGCTCCTCCGACACGCCCACCTCCACAGGCCTGTTCCTCTGACACGGCCACCCTGCTCCTCCGACACGCCCACCTCCACAGGCCTGTTCCTCTGACACGCCCACCCTGCTCCTCCGACACGCCCACCTCCACAGGCCTGTTCCTCTGGCACGCCCACCCTGCTCCTCCGACACGCCCACCCCTGCAGGCCTG